TATCAAATATATTTGATGAATGAATGACTGAATATATTAGTCTGGCTTGATAACAGTCATATGCAACTATCACCTAGTGGTATCTAGACAGAGGAAAAATAAATACTAGTTTGGCCTAAGTTTTAAAGGCCTCTAAGTAACTAGAAGACACAGCACTATGGCTAAAGAGTATAGATAACTGGGGGAGAATAAAAAGATACATATCAGATTAAACAAATTGGCCCTGAATCCAAGATGCTCCATATTCCTTGATCTGTGACAGTAGCAGGGAATTTCTTGATGCTTCTAAACTTCAGTGTCTTTATTTCTAATATGTGAATAACAATAACATCTCTTTCATGGGATCTTTACAGAGGTAGATGTAATATGAAATTAATGAAGCTTATGCTTCAAGGCCTATGATTTGCACAGGTACATTTCAAGCTCTAGTTAATGAGTGTAGGACAATTGAGAATAGTTACTATTCACTGTTAAAGAAAACCTGAAATGTCCTAAAACCTTACAGCTTTTATATGAAAAGAAATTTCGTAGAATTTCCTGCAATAATCCGAAATGTTTATATGACCTTGGCTATAACAAGTTAGAAAGCTAAAAGGATCTTTCCTAAATTATCAATAACATACAAATTTTAATAACCTCGATAGAGAAAAGACTGATTTTTTTAATTCTTTCCATGGAAAAAATTACAAAATTATTGTCATATGAACAGGCCAAAAAAGAATCATAAGAAGGGACTTCCCTGGTGGTCCAGTGGGTAAGACTCCACGCTTATAATGCAGGGGGCCCGGGTTCAATCCCTGGTCAGGGAACTAGATCCTGCAAGCCTGCTGCAACTAAGACTCCACATGCCAAAACTAAGAAGCCCGCGTGCCACAGCTAAGACCCGGTGCAGCCAAAATAAATAAATATATATAAAAAAAAGAATCATAGGAAAATGTGTATATGTGCATTGTCTGACCAGTTCTTAGAATGCTGTATTTGGGGTTATATGCAGAAATAACTATTTAAATCATGATTATTAAAAAATAGATGTTAAATTGAAAGAATTTAACAGAGGAACAATCATCTTATTCTCACCAGACTAAAATTAAATAACATCTTTCTCTCTATTTGTCATTTGTTTCTTCCCATCCCTAACAAATGATACTAGAGAAGTCACCCTAGGTACAATTAACAAAACAGTACAAACATTTTATTATAAAATGTATACAACTAAAGCATATTTTCCAATGATGATTAATGTTGGAATGTGAAAAATGTCCCGTTGCTATCAATCTACAATGCTGAATCAGTGATTTTACTGTAAAGAGCTGATCATGTTTGTTAGAGGAAGAAAGTGCCAACTAACCGAAACAATGTGTGTATTCTATTACTCTTCCCATTTGATGTTTGACAAAATAAAATGGTACCTACCCAAACCACAATATCAGGGTTACGTATCCAACCAAGTTTTGTTTATTTGAATCAATATACAGGATTATGCACGTTTATGGGTTTATATTACCACAGCCACAGATGGTAGCCACTGAATGTACGACATTTTTACATGGATGCACATGTTTTCAATGATGCTAAACTTAATAATTTATGTATTTTTTTATATAGCCCATGAGACTGAAAGGCAGCCAAAGAGAGCCACATCTAGAAACGTTGCTGATGTAAACTAAATTAAGTTGAGCATAATGTTGTGCAAAACAAAATGAAAATTAAAAATAAAACATATGTATCGGATGCAGTTTTAGTACTAATCAAGTACTATGGGTCAAAAGGTGATAGACATCATGTGCTTATATTAAATGATTGAAGGGAGAACATCTTCTGTTTAATGCCCCAGAATACTGTCCTCTCTGGCCTTCTTAAAAGATTACACAGCACTAAAAGCAAGAACATTCTTTATTCATCTGTGAAGAAATACAGACTGTGGCGGATGCAGGGGAGCCTGAATACATTGAATAATTAGAAAATAGTTCCCTAGAGATACAGAATTTAAAGGGTTACTATTTAAAAAACAAACACATGCTCTGGAAGTAAAATAAAAATAAAAAACCTTACCTGAAACTTATTGGAAAGTAATTTTTTTCTTGCAATTAATATTTAGGTCAGCTGATAGCATATAAGTGAGGTGAAAAATGTCATATTGGAATTTAGCAGACTATACTTTCAAAGGAATTTCAACCGTTAAAGCTTAGTATCTCTTTGGTTACTTTCAGCATTTGTAGAAATTATTCAAAAGTCTGTAAAGTCTTTTCCCATGCTACTATTGCTAACAAAAACACTTTTTAAATTATTTACATGTGTGTTTATAAATTAAACACACTATGTAAATGTATTCTAAATGTATTCTAATATGTTTTGCTATAAACTGATAATTTATAACTTCTAGGATAAATTTTCAAGAATAGAAAACAGTTCTTTTAATAGTTCACAAAATAAGCTTTCTTATGGGCAAAATTTAGGTAAAAGCATAAACTGAATAAAAGAGGAGTAAGCCTATCTTGTATAGTTAAGGTAGTTTAAAAATAAATTTTTGTTTTAGAAATCATATATGTTATGACCACATAACAATAATTATTATTATTTTAATTATTTTATTTATTTATGGCTGTGTTGGGTCTTCATTGCTGCGTGCGGGCTTTCTCTAGTTGCAGCGAGTGGGGGCTACTACTCTTTGTTGCGGTGCGTGGGCTTCTCATTGCGGTGGCTTCTCTTGTTGCGGAGCATGGGCTCTAGGTGCATGGACTTCAGTAGTTGTGGCACACAGGCTCAGTAGTTGTGGCTTGTGGGCTCTAGAGCGCAGGCTCAGTAGTTGTGGCACACGGGCTTAGTTACTCCACGGCATGTGGGATCTTCCCGGACCAGGGCTCGAACCCATGTCCCCTGCATTGGCAGGCAGATTCTTAACCACTGCACCACCAGGGAAGCCCGACCACATAATTATTAACCAATGTTTTGATAGGTGAAATAAAGGCAAAAATAATCAATAGATTATTTTCCTATGTGTAGAAATGTATGTTTTAGAGAAGTTTATGAAGATATTAATCAGCATTTGCTAAAGAGGTTGTGGTAGTGATAGAATTAGCACAAAATGGATTCTAGTTCAAGATCATCCAATTAGCTAATGGTGCAACCTTGGGCAAACCATCTGACCCTCAGTTTACTGTCTATAAATAAGCAGGTTTGGATCAATAAATGCCAAACCTAAAGTTCCACAATTTTCTATAGCAACCTCAAGAGTTATCATTCTAGTTCTGATATTCTTGCAAATTTTTGAATGCAGAATTTCAATACATTGTAAATAGCTTGCCAGGTTTCATAACTAAGACAAAGATTGAGAAACTCAGCAAAGAGTAGTTTTTTGTTGTTTGAAAGAAAACACATTTTAGTTGACCTTGATGAGGATTAAGTACATAGACACTGCATGTAAAATGTTTAGAGCCTTAGAGCTCAAAAAGTAGTTGAGCATTTACTATTGAAAAAAATCTTAGCATATTGAATTGAACAGTGAGTTTTAGAGTGTGTACTGGTTGGTAGTTTGATATTAAATTTTTATTTTGGGGAAAAAAGGAATAAGTCATTAGAAAATGTCAAAGGAGAGGTGGGATAAGGAAAATAAGATGGAGAGACGATCAATAAAGAATGAGAACTCTTTTTGCTCATAAAATCTTTTCGAAAATTGTTTGGTGAGAAACAGCGCATATACTCAGCAGCAACGCATTCTGATGTGTCTGCCTCTCCCGCTTCATCTCCCTCCTTCTTTCAGAGGCCTTCTCCTCCTCCCGATTGACAAATGCCTAACTAGCACCTACCCAGGAGACAGAACGTGTATGTAAACTATGATGACTGTAATGTGCCGAAAGCTTTAGTACCATCACACCAGTTGTACGTATGTGTGTACTTAACGTGTGTGTGTATTACACTTAAAATCTACTTTTATACAGTACACTTTTACACAGCACAAAAAATAAGTGGTATTCTCACAGGCTCAGTTTTGCCATCAATCATATCAGCAGATATATTTTGAGTTCGTTCTGTTAAAGAAATAAACATAAAAGAGGAGTAAGCCTATCTTGTATAGTTAAGGTAGTTTAAAAATAAATTTTCGTTTTAGAAATCATATATGTTATGACCACATAACAATAATTATTATTATTTTAATTATTTTATTTATTTATGGCTGTGTTGGGTCTTCATTGCTGCATGCGGGCTTTCTCTAGTTGCAGCGAGTGGGGGCTACTCTTTATTGTGGTGCGTGGGCTTCTCATTGCGGTGGCTTCTCTTGTTGCGGAGCATGGGCTCTAGGTGCGTGGACTTCAGTAGTTGTGGCACACAGGCTCAGTAGTTGTGGCTCGCGGGCTCTAGAGCGCAGGCTCAGTAGTTGTGGCACACGGGCTTAGTTACTCCATGGCATGTGGGATCTTCCCGGACCAGGGCTCGAACCCATGTCCCCTGCATTGGTAGGCAGATTCTTAACCACTGCACCACCAGGGAAGCCCGACCACATAATTATTAACCAATGTTTTGATAGGTGAAATAAAGGCAAAAATAATCAATAGATTATTTTCCTATGTGTGTCAGACTACCCTATACACTCATTGATTGATATATTTTGTTGTTACTACTTATTAAATTGAAAAGTGGACCACATATAGTGTTGATCTGGGGTTAAATAAGACCAACAGAGTATACAGAAGTCTGATGGAGAGAAATAGACCGGTAGGGGTGTAAAAGAGCCAATTGCCCTTGACTATATTCGATTAGCAAGTTCACATAACTTATACTTGTCTTTCCTCAGATGAACTGATCTCCCTAAGTCCAAAACAAAATTTCCCTCTTTCAAGTAACGCATCTAGGTGTTTGTAATGATGTGTGGATTTTCTTTGCTGGTTAAAGCTGTGTGCGTGTGTGTGTGTGTGTGTGTGTGTGTGTGAGAGAGAGAGAGAGAGAGAGAGAGAGAGCGAGAGAGAGAAGGATATAGTTTATAAGTGCCTTGGCTTACTTACTTTCTTTGCCACCCTTCTCTTCTCACATTTCCCAGTGGCAGTGTAGGGTGAGACGTGATGGAATAGGTGAGAATAAGGGGAGGTTATCACCTTCTCAAAGTCACCACTGTTGTTTCTCGAGGCTCAGATTTCCAATGTTTTTGATCCTGTACAAAGGATATGCTGAATTTATATTTTGGAAAATGCCAAATAAGCAGGTAGCAAAAACAAAATTAGGCCTAACCTAAGGCAAATCCAAATCTCACCATCATAGAATGAACTAGAAAACAAGAAAAACTGAAACATTTAAAAATTTATTATTTAGCCCCAAAAAATGTTTAATTTGTTTTTTTTTTTTTTTTTTGCGGTATGCGGGCCTCTCACTGCCGCGGCCTCTCCCGCCGCGGAGCACAGGCTCCGGACGCGCAGGCCCAGCGGCCATGGCCCACGGGCCCAGCCGCTCCGCGGCATGCGGGATCCTCCCAAACCGGGGCACGAACCCGCATCCCCCGCACCGGCAGGCGGACTCTCAACCACTGCGCCACCAGGGAAGCCCTAATTTGTTTTTAAAGTTTGGCATTATAATGTACTACTTTTTTAGCATGGTCTATAACTTCTTTGTGCCAGTATTCTATCATAAGTTTGCAATATCATATGGATGCTCAAATATGATACTTGTTTGGTTGCTATGATGATCATAATACAATGATTAAAGCAAGGAGGGTCTCAACTTGTTTTGACACATCTATACGTTAAATTTTTTAAATTAAGTGATGTTTTACAATTGCTGTAGTTACTTGGTAAATGTAATTATGTGAATTAAATGTTTATGATGTTTTGTAATTAATAGTTACCGAACTTTCTTTTATAAATTAGTGTGTGCAAGTTTGAAAATTGAATCTGAGTAAATTAGTATTCATTTAGCATATTACTTAAATAAATGAAACTGCAATTTTGAAAGACAAAATACTCATTCTATTCTGAGGTCAGTGAAAGATGCAAAGATATTTTCATCGAACTCAGATGGTGATGCTATGACCAACTTATTATTTTCCTTCCTGTAGTGAATCACCGAGATAAAGACCTATCTCCATGTTAGTTCCAGAACTCGAAGACTGGTAAAGATGAATTTCATTGAGGCAGTCCACAACTTAAATAATTTTTTAATGCTTAAAGAAAATACTTACTGAATGTTTTCACAAAATTAACATGATTGCCCTAACTTGTGCTTTTATTTATAAATGCACATGCCTGCTGCTTCACAAAGTCACCTGAAAAAAAATCCTTAATCCTTGGATCTACATTTGGGCAAAAAATCAATGTAATTGGTAGGCAAAATAAAAATAACATTTCTGAATTTCCACCTGGATCTCTACTTTCACTGAATATACACTTTGCTCAAGACCTTTCTTGGAACAGAATGTTCAGCAGTCTTCACATCAGGTAACACAAGAAACATTTGCATTCTGAAAGAATACCATTTGGATTTCTTCTACAGCTGGTTTCAGCAAACTATTTTCTCTGCAAGCAATCATTGGATGTTATTAAGTATATGTTATCTGAAAAGTACTGCGTTAAAACATTCGTTGCAGCCTCCTTTTCAACGTGAGAGCTGCTAGTCTACCTTGCTGGAACATCTTGCATAAATAAATGCCAAGGAAGTTGTAAAACCTCTCCTCTTTTATGGAATTTGGGTGAAGGAGAATGATAAGAACATGCCATTATCTTTCTGCTTATGACCAGTAATTATGTCACGTCACTTTAACCACTTTCTAAACATATAAAGAATGTGAAAAAAAATGGTTAAAGGAAGAAAATACTGGGTGAGACTGGGGGGCTGAACCTGGTTCCAATCATCTCCTTGCTTCCAAAAGCCTCTATTCAGGACCCAGCCTCCTCTTAGCCTCACCCCTGTGCACAAGGCCTCATCTCCCAGATCATATTAACAACCAACCATATGGAAGGGAGAAAGGACCGGAACCCATCACTGCTAGGAGCCCTCTCCTTATACCATCGTGAGAGAGCTAAACATGCCTTCTCCATAGAAATGTTATATACTACACGGTAGGTTTAGGTTGCATTGCACTGGCTTAGGTCTGGGGGCTACTTCTAGGAAAAATTAACTTCTAAATCTAACCAAATCAATAAGTGACTCTAGACGGCTATTTTGAAGTGGCTGACAGTCTGTTTTTTACCATATTAGATCTATAGCTGTCATTTGAAAGGGCTATTCATTCAAGTGCTTTGGAGTAATAATTTCAAATGCCTTTAGCAAGTTGGAAAAGTCACTGCCCTCAGATGACTAACACAGGAAAGGTCAATTAAGTAATAGTCTATTCTATTCTACCAAGCTTCTTCCCCCGCCAATGCCAAAATATAAATTTATTTTTCAAGAGCTCAAAGGTTTTAAGAAGTGTTCTGTATTATGAATTAGTTATATTTTTAAAACTACCTTTTCTGTTTAATCTAGATTACATAAGGCATCTAATTTTCACCTATTTCTCACACCTGAACCTTCTTCCCTTGATTCTATGGGTCATTCCTTGATTTCAGATCCTTATTACCCTGGAATATTGTAATTATCTTTCAGAAGGACTTTTGGCTTCTAATTTTTCCCACTTCTAACACATGCTATTGGCAGACTAGGTTTCTCAATGTAAGGAGCACTGATATCACTACTATGTTCAAAGATTTTTATTTGTTTGTTTGATTTGTTTTGTTTTTTTCCAGTATCTTTCCTGTTCAATTTGTGAAGTCCTAACTTTCTTAGTTGGGCATCCAAAACCTGCTTTGATATCTTGCATATCTACGTTTTCATTCTCGTTTCTTACTTTCCAGTTTTATAGATACTTATTTCAGGAAAGTTGGACATTTTCATATTCTCCTTAACACACTGCCCACATTCCCACATCAGGGCTTTGTTCACATGGTTTCCTCACGAAAGAGCCTCACTTTGCAGCCTCTCCCACTTACAGCCCCGCACTTTCCAGGTGCTTATGTTCTGCTCCACCTGGAAGGACCTTTCTCAAAAGCTATCTTAACTACAGTCTATCCATACGGTTAATTTATAATCTCTTCTGCATCATCTTAGGCTGTATCTTTTCTCTGAACTCCAATAGAACTTTTTTAGTCTTTGTTTAAAAAAATATTTGTTTTATTTATTTATTTGGTTGTGCCGGGTCTTAGTTGTGGCTTGTGGGCTCCTTAGTTGCAGCATGTGTGTGGGATCTAGTTCCCTGACCAGGGATCAAACCCAGGCCCCCTTCATTGGGAGCACGGAGTCTTAAGCACTGCGCCACCAGGGAAGCCCTCTTTTAGTCTTTTTTGAAATATCCCTTTCTGTCTTCAAAGTGTTAGGCAAAACTACAGTTTTGGTTCATTTAATCAGCCTATGAAAACAAATGTTATATGAACGTATTCATATTTCCAAAATAAATTAGGCTAAAACGTACACCATGCTGTTTTTCTTACTAGCACACTCCCACTCTTCTTGGTAACTATTGCATACTTCCACTCTCTCCTCATTATACACACTCCAATTTTCACTTCAGCTACTGGTCTTAGTCCTACATTACTAAGAAGAGAGGCAATAAGAAAACTTCTTTCCAGCAACATAGATAGACCTAGAGATTATCACACTAAGTGAAGTAAGTGAAAGAAAAATATCACATGATATAGCTTATATGTGGAATCTAAAAAAATATTACACAAATAAACTTATTTACAAAACAGAAACAGACTTACAGACATGGAAAACAAATTTATGGTTACCAAAGGGGAAAGGAAGGAGGGATAAATTAGGAATTTGGGATTAACAGATATACACTGCCAGGGCTTCCCTGATGGCGCAGTGGTTAGGAATCCACCTGCAATTTCAGGGGACACGGGTTCAAGCCCTGGTCTGGGAAGAGTCCACACGCTGTGGAGAAACTAAACCTGTGCTCTGCAACAAGAGAAGCCACTACAATGAGAAGCCCGCGCACCGAAACGAAGAGTAGCCCCCGCTTGTTGCAACTAGAGAAAGCCCGTGCGCAGCAATGAAGACCCAATGCAGCCAATAAATTAATTTAAAAAACAGATATACACTACCATATATAAAATAGAGAGACAACAAGGTCCTACTGTATAGCATAGGTAACCATATTCAATACCTTATAATAACCTATAATGGAAAAGAATCTGAAAAAGAATATATATATTCTTTATATATGTATATAACTGAAACGCTCTGCTGTACATCAGAAACTAACACAATATTTTAGATCAACTAAACTTCAATGAAAATAAGAAGAGAACTTCCACAAGCTCACAACAAATCTTCTGCCCATTAACCTGCTTCTCAGTATACAGAACTCTGCCCTGTCTCATTTCACCACAAACTCTCCTTGCTCTTATTAACAGTAACTTTTTACCGTGGGTAATAGACCTCATTCTCTCTTGCCTCTATGCCAGGATATCATTCCAAAGGTCTCTCCTAATTCTTTCTAACTATACTATATAATTTCAATCGGTATAAAACCATAATGTAATTGTTTTTATGAAAAAAAGGAAAACCTTCTGGGTTTCTGTAGAATAATGACAACCACCTACACTGGAATCTTTCCTCACAGTCTCTAGAAAACCCATATAGAACAAGAAGGAACGCACATGAAACTACCCTTAACGCATTCCTAGATGTTAACTAGGAGACAGAAAATACCACGATCCTTAATTTACATAGAAGTAAGGAAACAAACATCCAAAAATGAGTGGGGCCAGGTCTGGAGGCCAAGAGTGAGGAAGAGACTGAACAGAAACAAGGAGGTGGTAGGGGCCAAGCAATGGCAGAAAACATAAAAGGACCCCTGAGAGAGAGGGTTCTATACTTAGGTACTCAGAAGAGGTCACAGCGTGGACATAACAGAACCCCTGAGAGAGAGAGTTCTACACTTTGATACTGAGAAGAGGTCACAGCGTGGACATAAAAGGACCCCTGAGAGATAGAGTTCTACACTTAAATACTGAGAAGAGGTCACAGTGTGGACATAAAAGGACCCCTGAGAGGAAGAGTTCTACACTTAGATACTGAGAAGAGGTCACAGCGTGGACATAACAGGACCCCTGAGAGAGAGAGAGTTCTACACTTAGATACTGAGAAGAGGTCACAGCGTGGACGTAGCAGGACCCC